ACCATGTTGAGGAGGAGGAGGAGAACCATGTTGAAGAGGTGGAGGAGGAGAACCATGTTGAAGAGGCGTGAGGAGGAGGAGAACCATGTTGAAGAGGAGGAGGAGAACCATGTGGAAGAGGAGGAGGAGGAGAACCATGTGGAAGAGGAGGAGGAGGAGGAGAACCATGTGGAAGAGGAGGAGGAGGAGGAGGAGAACCATGTGGACGAGGCGGATGAGGAGGAGGAGAACAGTGGAAGAGGAGGAGGAGAGGAGAACCATGGGAAGAGAGGAAGAGGAGGAAGGAGGTGAGAGAGGAGAGAGTTGAAGAGGAGCAGAAAAGAGAGAGAGGAGGAGAATGAAGAGGAGGAGAGATGGGGAGGAGGGGAGAGGAGGAAGGAGGAGGAGGAGGAGAACATGTGGAAGAGGAGGGAAGAGTGGAAGGGAGGGAGAGGAGGACAGAGAGGAGAGATGGAGAGAGGAGGAGAGGATGTGAAGAAGAGGAGGAAGTGAAAAGAGGAGACAAAGAGGAGCGAAAAGGGAAAGAAGGAGAAATAGACCCAGTGAGGAGGGATGAAAGAGATGGAGGAAAGAGGAGAATAGAGAGAGAGGTTGGATGGAACAGGAGAGGGGGGAGAGAGAGGAAGAAGGAGGAGAGGATGGAGGGAGGAGGAGATGAGGAGGAAGAAGGAGAGGGAAATGAAGACAGTGGAGGTGGAGAAAGAGAGGAGGAGGGGAAAAAGGAGACTATAGACAGTGGAGGTGGATGAACAGAGATGGAGGAAGGAAGAGGAGGAGAGATGGAGGAAGAGGAGGAGAGATGGAGGAGAGATGGAGGGAGAGTTGGAGGAAGAGGAGGAGAGATGGAGGAAGAGGAGGAGAGATGGAGGAAGAGGAGGAAGGACTGATAAATAAGAGGGAAAAGAGGGAGCGAAAATGCCCCAGTGGAGGTTCTGGATGAACCAGAGATTGAGGAAGAGGAGCAATATAGACCCAGTGGAGGTCTGGATGAACAGCGATGGAGGAAGAGGAGGACTATAGACCAGTGGAGGTCTGATGAAAACAGAGATGGCGGAAGAGGAGCGACTATAGACCCCAGTGGAGGTCTGGATGAACATAGATGGAGGACTAGGAGCAATATAGACCCCAGTGGAGGTCTGGGATGAACAGAGATGGAGGAAAGAGGAGCATTATAGACCCAGTGGAGGTCTGGAGGAACAGGAGATGGAGGACGCGGAGCCATATAAGACCCAGTGGAGGTCTGGATGAACAGAGATGGAGGAAGAGGAGCAATATAGACCCAGTGGAGGTCTGGATGAACAGAGATGGAGGAAGAGGAGCAATATAGACCCAGTGGAGGTCTGGATGAACAGAGATGGAGGAAGAGGAGCAATATAGACCCAGTGGAGGTCTGGATGAACAGAGATGGAGGAAGAGGAGGACAATAGACCAGTGGAGGTCTGGATGAACAGAGATGGAGGAAGAGGAGGAATATAGACCCAGTGGAGGTCTGGATGAACAGAGATGGAGGACGAGGAGCAATATAGACCCAGTGGAGGTCTGGATGAACAGAGATGGAGGAAGAGAAGGACTATAAAGGGCTCATAACGACAGCACCTCCACTTCCACCTCCAGTTCTCTGTGTTTACAGGGTAAGCTAAGAGCACTACCCCCTGGGCCATTAAGACCTGGACCCCTTGGCAGAGGCTGTAGCTGCTACAGAACAGGGTGGTTACAGAACAGGGTGGTTACAGAACAGGGTGGTTACAGAACAGCAGTACTGTACTACAGAACAGGGCACCAGGCTGAACAGCAGTACTGTACTACAGAACAGGGACAGGTACAGAACAGAGTCTGTATACAGGCTGAACTGTGGGACAAACAGAGGAAGTGTTGCAGGTGTGAGGTAGTAAACACTAGCCCACCGTGGAACAAAGTGATGTCACACCTGAGGTCACCTGCCTGACATCATATTACCTATTTACTGCACAAAGGGCTCTGGTCAAAAGTAGTGCACTATATAGGGAATAGGGTGCCACTTGGAATGCAGTCATTCAGTCTTCATGACCTATAGCCTATTGTACCACTGCCACCAGGGGAACCTATCTTTTAACAGCTCTTTTGTAGCACTACAGACTATTAAGACTGTAACACACAGAGAGACAGTCACATGCAAAAAAATAAAAATAAACGATGCTCCTTCTGACCCCGCTGGCCTATTAAACACAGAGAGGGGTGAAGCGTTTCCCCCCACTAATGGTTACGGTCAGGATCGGGGGAGGGGAATCTGATCCTAGATCTGTACCCAGTGGAAACCGGAGCAACAACACACTGGAACACTTTCAATACTTTATTTGGGATCCACAGTCGAGCGTCAAGAAAGAAAATAACCTAATACAGAGGTCAAAGGTCACATTGGTTCCTGCCGTCATTGAGATGTAAAGAGAATGCAACGTTGTATCTGTCCCGTAATGACGTCTGTGAGCGCACAGGCACCACCATGGTGGCCATCTCCATTTTTAAGAAGTCAATTTTCTTCCTTTACTACTTCTATGAGTTGGTAAACAAATTGAAAGGGTGCGTACTGCCACCTGGAGTGTGTTTGAACAGATATAAAAGCCAAGGTTGGCAATTTACTGTCACCTGCAGTTATGGAATGTTTGCTCACAAGTATAATTCATTGGCTGATTCCTCCTGCTGACCTGGATGGAATTATGCGATCCTTCCTGAACCCACAGGAAGTCACACCCAGTGGACTACTTCAAAATGGTGGACGTCCTCAACGTTACTGCCCATGGTAAAACAGGCTTTCGGGCACTGAAATAGATAAGATAGTCCTCTATCTATCTCTATGGGATTTATAGGCTGTCCCCCAAATGGCCCCTGGTCAATAGAAGTGCACTACATAGGGAATGGGGTGCCATTTGGGAGTCTGACATGGACATACAGGTGTTGGTGAATGTGTACTTCATATCTAGGAGACATTTGGAACCCAAGGCTCTTCTGGAGCTGCGTTCAACTGGACTTGTTTTCTTCCATTTCTGTCGGAATAGAAAAAAGAAATGCAAAAAGAGATAAACTCTCTGTACCCTGAGGTCACAGCCCGTCCTTTACCCCGAGGTCACAGCCCGTCCTTTACCCTGAGGTCACAGCCCGTCCTTTACCCTGAAGGTCCACAGCCCGTCCTTTACCCTGAGGTAACAGCCCGTCCTTTACCCTGAGGTCACAGCCCGGTCCCTTTACCCTGATGTCACAGCCCGTCCTTTACCCGAGGTCACAGGCCCGTTCTTTACCCCGATGGTCACAGCCCGTCCTTTCCTGATGTCACAGCCCGTCCTTACCCTGAGGTCACAAGCCCGTCCTTTCCCCCCTGAGGTCACAGCCCGTCCTTTACCCTGAGGTCACAGCCCGTCCTTTACCCTGAGGTCACAGCCCGTCCTTTACCCTGAGGTCACAGCCCGTCCTTTACCCTGAGGTCACAGCCCGTCCTTTACCCTGAGGTCACAGCCCGTCCTTTACCCTGAGGTCACAGCCCGTCCTTTACCCTGGGCTCAAGTTGGAAGTTGCCCCTAGACACTGATCAAAGATTAGTTTAACGTTGGCCGCTTTCCTCTAAAGCAATGCACTGTGGGGCCAGGGTTGGGGTTTGGTGGGGGAGATAGTGATTGTATCCCAAGTGGCATCCGATTTCCTACACATGGTCAAAAGTAGTGCGCTACATAGTATAGGGAATAGGGTGCCATTTGGGACGCTACCAGGGTCTTCCACCACCTCTGGTGTTGTTTTGTAAATCTGTGTTTGGCACTTTATCAGACGGACTACCCTGCTGCATATCTGTATAATATATTTAACAATAAATATGATTGATCCATGAAATTACTGATGCGGTCAATCAATCTTCTAAGAATGTATGCACTCACTACTATAAATCTCTCTGGATAAGAGCGTCTGCTAAATGACTTAAAATGTAAAATGTGTAGCCAGAATAACTGATTGTGATCTTCCTGGGGGTGTGTACCAATATTAAGTGGACACTCATACACTACTTCCCACCAATCTAAAAGCATTGTGTTGGTGGAGGCGTGTCATTTCCTTTCAAATCAGTGAAGGGAAATGAAGGAGTGCACACACTAGGAGGAAGGAGAGACCATTGGCACATACAGCTGACCTCCGCTGGAGGTCGTCAGGGATGAATTGATTGGTTGGATGAAAGCTCCGTTGGGCAGAGCTTAGTGACAGGCCAGTGTGCAGGGTTTACAGGGAGAGTCAAATAAGAAAAGGCCTTACGGGTGGTAGGATGGAGGGCATTACACACGGGTTGTGACCCACAAGGTTGCCAGTTTGAATCCCAGTTGTGACTTTTGTTTTCCAACCTTCTTAACTAAATCACCTTTCTAATCTACTGTCCTTCTAAATGAATCATTGACCTGGTGCCTTCCCCCCTGCTAGTGCAGTAGACTAGGAACTGGGATAGGGACCAGAAGGTTACAGGTTCTAATCTTGTGGACTAGGAACTGGGATAGGGACCAGAAGGTTACAGGTTCTAATCTTGTGGACTAGGAACTGGGATAGGGACCAGAAGGTTACAGGTTCTAATCTTGTGGACTAGGAACTGGGATAGGGAAGGTTACAGGTCTAATCTTGTGGACTAGAACTGGGATAGGACCAGAAGGTTACAGGTTCTAATCTTGTGGACTAGGAACTGGGATAGGGACCAGAAGGTTACAGGTTCTAATCTTGTGGACTAGGAACTGGGATAGGGACCAGAAGGTTACAGGTTCTAATCTTGTGGACTAGGAACTGGGATAGGGACCAGAAGGTTACAGGTTCTAATCTTGTGGACTAGGAACTGGGATAGGGACCAGAAGGTTACAGGTTCTAATCTACCCTTTCTCAAATAATGACCACAGAAGACTTACAGATAAAAACAGCATTCTTTGTTTTATTGATCACTGATCAGATTTCACAGTATCGTATCTGAGCCATCAATCGATCAGTCAATCAGACGATGAACAAAAACACAACAAGCAGCTCACACAGGAGTCAGGGGAACAGGTCAGTAGCAGAGGCACCTGGTTCACCTGGTCTAGTTTGTTAGAAAAATGTAGAGAAACGTAACCCAGGTGGGTCATTTGGCATGGAGTTGGCAAAGCCGGGTCAATCAGACAAACACAGGAACACACCCACACCTAACACTAGACTGGTCTCAGAGCCTACTTCAAATCCTAAATAAACAACCTCAGAGGATGATGTCATATCAGAAGTAAATACACACGCAGCTCAGATATCACAGATTACATGACCAACTACATGACATCATGGTGGTCAAGGCAGCGATCGCAGAGGGTTCTACATTCTGCTCCAGAACCTTTCTCTATCAGGTACCAGAATATTTATGTGTCAGGTTCTAGAATGTCTCTTTCTCTCTGTCAGGTTCTAGAATGTCTCTCTCTCTCTCTGTCAGGTCCTAGAATTCCATGCAGGGTTCTCTCAGATCAGAGACCCATCCACGAGACCCAGTTAGGGAAGTCCTCCACCTCTCCCATCTCACTGAGGCTCTGCTCTCCATCACCGTGGACCAGGGTCAGCTTGTAGCGCAGACGCACCTTACGCTGGGAGAGAGATAACACACAAACCATCACAATTATATCAAAACACACCTTACGCTGGGAGAGAGATAACACACAAACCATCACAATTATATCAAAACACACCTTACGCTGGGAGAGAGATAACACACAAACCATCACAATTATATCAAAACACACCTTACGCTGGGAGAGAGATAACACACAAACCATCACAATTATATCAAAACACACCTTACGCTGGGAGAGAGATAACACACAAACCATCACAATTATATCAAACACACCTTACGCTGGGAGAGAGATAACACACAAACCATCACAATTATATCAAAACACACCTTACGCTGGGAGAGAGATAACACACAAACCATCACAATTATATCAAAACACACCTTACGCTGGGAGAGAGATAACACACAAACCATCACAATTCCATCAAAGGCACATTGTCAACAAGCGCACACTGCACTTGACTTTCAAAGTTAATATACCCTTGAGATGGCATCTGCAGCTTTTACCCTGAATGCGATCTCCATGAATGTCAGGGAGATTGCCTTTAAAAGCCACATTGTTGACAGTGAAGTTCACTTGTTGATGATGCGCCTATGAATGAATCCCGGCCAAGTCACAGGTCTGATGATAACAAAACGATCTCTGTGTATCCAGGGTGTCAGGTGGAGGTGTCGACTCACCCTGTGTGGGTTGGAGAGGAGCAGTATCTGCGAGAGGGCAGCAGGGGGCAGCGTAGGGTTGTAGGGGGGGAGCTCCTTCCCCGAAGACGGCTGGAGCTTCACTGTCATGGTCTGGAGGAAATACAGGGAAATCAACCAGCTAGCCAGACAGACCACCAGTCATTCAGTCAGCTAGCCAGTCATTCAGTCAGCCAGACAGTCATTCAGTCAGCCAGACAGTCATTCAGTCAGCCAGACAGTCATTCAGTCAGCCAGCCAGTCATTCAGTCAGCCAGCCAGACAGTCATTTAGTAAGATCAATCAATCAATGAATCAATCAGTCCATCAAATAGTCCATCAATCAGTCATTCAGTCAACCAGTCATTGATGGAAATGAAGGATTCATGAGACAAGGAGAGAAATTGTTTCAAATTAAAGCCTTCAAGCATTTGAAGGAGTTTAATGTAGGAGTTTAATCTTGTCCATGTTTGGGCATTTGTCTGTTACCTTGGGAACGGCAGCCTGAAACAGGATGCCTTTAACAGGAAGTGCTGAGGTATTCACCGTGGAGACGACAACCACGGCAACGTTAGGGTATCCCGGGGGCGGGTCTTTAGCGAAATGGAGGGAAACATGGACGCCATTCTGGTCGTACACTGTGATTGGCTCCAATCGACCTATCAAGAGACATTCAGGAAATGAAAACCTCAGGCGTGCCAACATAGAACGGATGACTTGAAATAGAAAAGACCAGAAGTATCCATTAACATGAATGACTACAGACAACTGCAGTGACAACACCGTAACTCCTAGTCTGCATCCCAAATGGCACCCTTTATAGTGCCCCCATAGGGCTCTGGTCAAAAGAAGTGCACTATAAAGGAATTAGGATGCAATTTGGGACGCCAGACCTATTCTGTGTATTACTGTGTTTAAAATATCTTTAGAAAAACTAGGGCTGTTCCCCAAATGGCATCCTTTTCCCTGTTGGCCCTGGTTAAAAGCAGTGCACTCTATAGGGAATAGGGTGCCATTTTGTGGTTAAAAGCAGTGCACTCTATAGGGAATAGGGTGCCATTTTGTGGTTAAAAGCAGTGCACTCTATAGGGAATAGGGTGCCATTTTGGGATGCAGACTTACTTGGTTTAATGGACTCCAGAGGGACGTGGATCTCTGATAAGGATTCTGGGAGATTCAAACTCTCTGATTTCACTGGAGATCCTGACTCTGTCATTGGCTGACTCTGTGAGTTTGACGGTGATCCTGACATCACAATTGGCCAATTCTGAAGGACCGCCCTGACAGGAAGAAGAAAATATTGAATCATCAAGGTATCTCTGTCTCTCTCTTTCTCCATCCATCCATCCATCCATCCATCCATCCATCCCTCACCAGTCAGTCCCATTTGACGAGCCACTGCCACAACCCCGGGCCGCCAGTGAGAGGTCTCTCCCTCCACACACCCCCGTGGTTAGGGAATGGTCTCTCCCTCCACACACCCCCGTGGTTAGGGAATGGTCTCTCCCTGTGTTCTCCTCTCCTCCTCTCATCTGAAATAAAGGGGATAGAGAATAGGTATTTATGTTGAAGAGGAACAAATCAGTGTAAATATGATTGATCTTGGCGTTGTTGTGACCCGTTGGGTCCTGGTCAAACATAGTGCACTACGTAGGGAATAGGGTGTCATTTGGGACGCATGGAAAGGTAACTGGTACCTGGACTAGTTCATCGTAGTATGTGCTGCTCTGCCTTTGAGACGACGCTGGTTTATCCAGCCCTGAATAAAGAACACATTTATCCATGTTAACGTTATAAACAGAACCACATCATCAACACATCTACACAAACACTAAGGGAAGGGAATACTGTTTAAAACGATAACAAATCCGGATCATGAAGACATCACACCGGAAACATCCACATGAAAGGGACGTTCTTAAGAAAGAGAACCTGTACAAACCTGTGACGTCCAGATCCACTAGAGACAGGAGAGCACTGTTGAGCCGCTGACGGGAGAGAGGAGAGGAGGAGGGAGAAGAGGTCTCATAGGACAGGAAGGAGGAAGCCATGTCTTTAGAAGGTGTCTGTGGAGAGTCCAGGGCTGACAGGTCTATTAGATGGTAACTCTTTATCTCTCTGGGGCTGCTGGGACCTGGGGATGGAGACAATAGGAAAATACTACCACTGACATTCACTCTGAAACAACACATCCTCTCTGAAGTCAAACTACAAGCTACTCTGTCCTAGGGATATAGACAACACTCCACTGACATGACAACACAGAGACATTCAGACTGAAACACCACTAGAACACACAGAAGGTACTCTGTCCTAGGGATATAGACAACACTCCACTGACATGACAACACAGAGACATTCAGACTGAAACACCACTAGAACACACAGAAGGTACTCTGTCCTAGGGATATAGACAACACTCCACTGACATGACAACACAGAGACATTCAGACTGAAACACCACTAGAACACAGAACAAACACAAGGTTCAAACACAGAACAAACACAAATTAAAAACATTGTAGGGGGAGGAACAAACACAAGACAACACACACTGACATTATACCTTCACAGACAGAACAACAATGAAAGAGTGGTGTAGAGAGGAGCTAGGCAGATGTACCGTTGTTTATGGAGCTCTCCCCTCTTCCTCCTCCTCCTCCTCTCATCCGGTTGCTCTCTCTCCTCCCCCCCATCATCTCTTTATACATGTTGACCACCAGGGTCAGCTCATCATTGGCCTGCAGGATCTGAGCTGGAATGGAAGGAACACAACATGAATGACTAGACTGAACAGAACATGAAGGACAAGAATGAACAGAACATGAAGGACTAGAATGAACAGAACATGAAGGACTAGAATGAACAGAACATGAAGGACAATAAATAGGATGGCAGGTAGCCTAGCAGTCCTAGCTAGCAGTTAGAGCGTTGGGTCAGTAACTGAAAGGTCGCTGGTTCAAATACCCGAGTTGAAAAGGTGAACGATCTGTCAATGTGCCCTTGAGCAAGGCACTTAACCCCAATTTACTCCAGGGGTGCAGTACCACTATGGCTGACCCTGTAAAACAACACATTACACTGCACCTATCATACTACTATGGCTGACCCTGTAAAACAACACATTACACTGCACCTATCATACTACTATGGCTGACCCTGTAAAACAACACATTTCACTGCACCTATCATACTACTATGGCTGACCCTGTAAAACAACACATTACACTGCACCTATCCGGTGGATGTGACAATACAACATTACATTTTTATTATGAAAGAGATCTGAGATAGAATGGAGGGAACAGATTAGACACATAAATAGTTAATTATGGATCTGGGAAACTGCTTCTAACATAAATGACAAGAACTAAATAGTACATTTAGAGGTACTTGATATGACGTGAAGAGGACTAGAACAGATTAAATCTCCAGCTGGTACAGTCAGAAGAGGACTGGCCACCCCCCAGAGCCTGGTTCCTCTCTACCCGGTACAGTCAGAAGAGGCTTGGCCACCCCCCCCAGAGCCTGGTTCCTCTCTACCCGGTTACAGTCAGAAGAGGATTGGCCAACCCCCCCAGAGCCTGGTTCCTCTCTACCCGGTACGTCAAGAAGAGGACTGGCCACCCCCAGAGCCTGGTTCACTCTTCTACCCGGGTTTACAGTCAGAAGGGGGACTGGCCACCCCCCAGAGGCCTGGTTCCTCTCTACCCGTTACAGTCAGAAGAGGATTGGCAACCCCCAGAGCTGGTTTCCTCTCTACCCGGTACAGTCAGAAGAGGATTGGCCACCCCCCAGAGCCTGGTTCCTCTCTACCCGGTACAGTCAGAAGAGGATTGGACACCCCCCAGAGCCTGGTTCCTCTCTACCCGTTACAGTCAGAAGAGGACTGGCCACCCCCCAGAGCCTGGTTCCTCTCTACCCGGTACAGTCAGAAGAGGATTGGACACCCCCCAGAGCCTGGTTCCTCTCTACCCGTTACAGTCAGAAGAGGACTGGCCACCCCCCAGAGCCTGGTTCCTCTCTACCCGGTACAGTCAGAAGAGGATTGGACACCCCCCAGAGCCTGGTTCCTCTCTACCCGGTACAGTCAGAAGAGGATTGGCCACCCCCAGAGCCTGGTTCCTCTCTACCCGGTACAGCCAGAAGAGGACTGGCCACCCCCCAGAGCCTGGTTCCTCTCTACCCGGTACAGCCAGAAGAAGACTGGACACCCACCAGAGCCTGGTTCCTCTCTAGGTTTCTTCCTAGGTTCCTGCCTTTCTAGGGAGTTTTTCCTTGCAACTGTGCTTCTGCCTCGGCATTGCTTGCTGTTTGGGGTTTTAGGCTGGGTATCTGTAAAGCACTTTGTGACAACTGCTGATGTAGAAAGGGCTTTATAAAATAGATTTGATCAATTGATTGATGAAAGATAAGACAGAAAGCTCAAGCATTCAGAATAGTAATGGTTATAATTGATTCAGCGTACTTTCAGAGAGTTTTACTGAGGAATTATATTTGCCAATATGACACGTTTAGTTGTGTGAATAGATCCCAGATGATCTGGATACAAAAATACTAAATTATCAACGTAGATCTGGATCCATACAGACTAAATGATCAATGTACATCTGGATACATACAGACTAAATGATCAATGTACATCTGGATCCATACAGACTAAATGATCAATGTACATCTGGATACATACAGACTAAATGATCAATGTACATCTGGATACATACAGACTAAATGATCAATGTACATCTGGATACATACAGACTAAATGATCAATGTACATCTGGATACATACAGACTAAATGATCAACGTACATCTGGATACATACAGACTAAATGATCAACGTACATCTGGATCCATACAGACTAAATGATCAACGTAGATCTGGATCCATACAGACTAAATGATCAATGTACATCTGGATCCATACAGACTAAATGATCAATGTACATCTGGATCCATACAGACTAAATGATCAATGTACATCTGGATACATACAGACTAAATGATCAACGTACATCTGGATCCATACAGACTAAATGATCAACGTACATCTGGATCCATACAGACTAAATGATCAACGTAGATCTGGATCCATACAGACTAAATGATCAATGTACATCTGGATCCATACAGACTAAATGATCAATGTACATCTGGATCCATACAGACTAAATGATCAATGTACATCTGGATCCATACAGACTAAATGATCAATGTACATCTGGATACATACAGACTAAATTATCAATGTACATCTGGATACATACAGACTAAATTATCAATGTACATCTGGATCCATACAGACTAAATGATCAACGTACATCTGGATCCATACAGACTAAATGATCAACGTACATCTGGATACATACAGACTAAATGATCAACGTACATCTGGATACATAATGACTGAAAGGTCAATGTAGATAAATTACCTAAAGCTTCGTCATCGTCGACGGTGTCACTGGCCAATCGGAACAGGTTGGGTCTGAGCCTATCACAGCGCTCGTAGACGGCCTACGGGAAGGACAGGATACACAGTCATGTGTCAGTACAGTGTGTGTACAGAGAGAGAAACAGCCCAGTCCCATACCTTCAGCTGGTCAGTGAGGTGAGTGGAGGGCCCAGTGTGTGTACAGTACAGAGAGAGAAACAGCCCAGTCCCATACCTTCAGCTGGTCAGTGAGGTGAGTGGAGGGCCCAGTGTGTGTACAGAGAGAGAAACAGCCCAGTCCCATACCTTCAGCTGGTCAGTGAGGTGAGTGGAGGGCCCAGTGTGTGTACAGTACAGAGAGAGAAAGAGCCCAGTCCCATACCTCCAGCTGGTCAGTGAGGTGAGTGGAGGGCCCAGTGTGTGTACAGTACAGAGAGAGAAACAGCCCAGTCCCATACCTCCAGCTGGTCAGTGAGGTGAGTGGAGGGCCCAGTGTGTGTACAGTACAGAGAGAGAAAGAGCCCAGTCCCATACCTCCAGCTGGTCAGTGAGGTGAGTGGAGGGCCCAGTGTGTGTACAGAGAGAGAAACAGCCCAGTCCCATACCTTCAGCTGGTCAGTGAGGTGAGTGGAGGGCCCAGTGTGTGTACAGTACAGAGAGAGAAACAGCCCAGCCCCATACCTTCAGCTGGTCAGTGAGGTGAGTGGAGGGCCCAGTGTGTGTACAGTACAGAGAGAGAAACAGCCCAGTCCCATACCTTCAGCTGGTCAGTGAGGTGAGTGGAGGGGCCAGTGTGTGTACAGAGAGAGAAACAGCCCAGTCCCATACCTTCAGCTGGTCAGTGTGGTGAGTGGAGGGCCCAGTGTGTGTACAGAGAGAGAAACAGCCCAGTCCCATACCTTCAGCTGGTCAGTGAGGTGAGGGGAGGGCCCAGTGTGTGTACAGAGAGAGAAACAGCCCAGTCCCATACCTTCAGCTGGTCAGTGTGGTGAGTGGAGGGCCCAGTGTGTGTACAGAGAGAGAAACAGCCCAGTCCCATACCTTCAGCTGGTCAGTGTGGTGAGTGGAGGGCCCAGTGTGTGTACAGAGAGAGAAACAGCCCAGTCCCATACCTCCAGCTGGTCAGTGAGGTGAGTGGAGGGCCCAGTGTGACGGTGTTGTTGTAGTAACTCTCTCAGCTGTCTGGTTCTGCTAGCGACCTCCTCCAGGGTAGAGACACGTCTAGATACACGCTCTGCTTTCTGCTGCTCCTACAGACAGACAGTAATGCAGCAGTCAACCAACATGCACACACACACACACGCACACACTCTCTCTCACACACACACACACCACACACACACACACACTCACACACTCTCTCACACACACACACACGTGGTCTCACTTCTTTGATGGTGTTCTTGATCAGTCTGTTGGCTGTCTGCAGATCTTCAGGACTACTGCTTTTCAGGAGTCTGGCTAACAACTGTAAACACACACACACACACACACACACACACACACACACACAGACACACACAGACACACACAGACACACACATTAACAGAGAGAAGACGAGATCAACTAAAAAAGGCTTTCTTCAGCCACACACAGACAAACACACACCTTGGCCTTGTCCTCCTGGTTGAACACTGAGTCCTCAGCTCTCTGTGAGGGAGGAGGCATCACAATGGTGTCTGGGAGTTGAGGGTCCTTCTTCACAAGGCCTGAGGAACAGACACAGAGAGACACTGAGTGGCTGCTTCCCAAACACCACCCTACTCCCTTTACAGGGCACTACCTTTGACCAGGGCCCATGGGTCGTAAACGGTTCTGTATCGTAATGGACCTTGTTTTTTAAGCATGCGCTAGGCCTCCTGGTTCTAAGCTGTAACAGTTCTAATGTGCTAGGGTTCTAAGGTATAATGGTTCTGAGCAGTAACAGACCTTGTTTCCTGAGTGATAGGCCTCCTGGTTCTAAGGTGCTAGGGTTCTAAGGTATAACGGTTCTGAGCAGTAACAGACCTTGTTTCCTGAGTGATAGGCCTCCTGGTTCTAAGGTGCTAGGGTTCTAAGGTATAACGGTTCTGAGCAGTAACAGACCTTGTTTCCTGAGTGATAGGCCTCCTGGTTCTAAGGTGCTATGGTTCTAAGGTATATCGGTTCTGAGCAGTAACAGACCTTGTTTCCTGAGTGATAGGCCTCCTGGTTCTAAGGTGCTATGGTATAACGGTTCTGAGTAGCGGTTCTAAGGTGTTGTAACGGACCTTGTTTCTTAAGCATGCGGTAGGCCTCCTGAATCTTGGGTTCTTCTTTGAGCCACAGAGTCCAGCTGTACAGAACCTCCGTCACCCTCAGCTTCACCTCTGCACCACTCCACTGACCCAGGAACTGCAGATCAATCAATACAATCAATCACATGTATTTCCTAAAGCCCTTTTTACTTCAGCAGCAGTCACAAAGTGCTATACAGTAACCCAGCCTAAACCCCAAAGAGCAAGCAATGCAGAAGCACAATGCAGATGGATGGATGGATGGATGAGTGAGTGAATGAATCAACTGTTATCTCAGACAGATAGACAACCCCCATTAAAAGGCCTTTGATCATTCATCAGTCTCTATCACACTCTAAATGATGATTAATGTTCTTACATAGAATAACTGACTGGATTACACTGGGAGAGACTGATAACACAACTCCCCTTTAATACAATAACTGACTGGATTACACTGGGAGAGACTGATAACACAACTCCCCTTTAATACAATAACTGACTGGATTACACTGGGAGAGACTGATAACACAACTCCCCTTTAATACAATAACTGACTGGATTACACTGGGAGAGACTGATAACACAACTCCCCTTTAATACAATAACTGACTGGATTACACTGGAGAGACTGATAACACAACTCCCCTTTAATACAATAACTGACTGGATTACACTGGGAGAGACTGATAACACAACTCCCTTTAATACAATAACTGACTGGATTACACTGGGAGAGACTGATAACACAACTCCCCTTTAATACAATAACTGACTGGATTACACTGGGAGAGACTGATAACACAACTCCCCTTTAATACAATAACTGACTGGATTACACTGGAGAGACTGATAACACAACTCCCCTTTCATACAATAACTGACTGGATTACACTGGGAGAGACTGATAACACAACTCCCCTTTAATACAATAACTGACTGGATTACACTGGAGAGACTGATAACACAACTCCCCTTTAATAGAATAACTGACTGGATTCACTGGGAGAGACTGATACCACAACTCCCCTTTAATACAAAAACTGACTGGATTACACTGGGAAGAGACTGATAAACACACAACTCCCCTTTTAATTACAATACCTGACTGGATTACACTGTGGAGAGACTGATAACACAACTACCTCTTTAATAAATAACTGACGGATTCTACTGGAGAGACTGATAACACAACTCCCCTTAATACAATACTGACTGGATTACACTGGGAGAGACTGATAACACAACTCCCTTTAATACAATAACTGACTGGATTACACTGGAGAGACTGATAACACAACTCCCCTTAATAAATAACATGACTGGATTCATGGGAGAGACTGATACAATCCCTTAATACAATCACTCCTTCCTGTTACTGTTGCACAGAAACCTAACAGAGTCTTAAGTCCCAAATGGCACCCTATTTCCTTTCTAGTGCACTACTTTTGACCAGGGAATATAGGGTGCCATTTGGGACATATGGGCCCTGGTAGTGCATTATATAGGGAATAGGCTTCCATTTGGGATGCACACAGAAAACGTTCCTCATACCTTTGGAGACAGAACTTTGATGAGTTCATTGAGGAAGCGGAACTTTGCCGCCTCACTGTGGAACCTCTTGCCACAGTTGTTCATGCAGGCTTCTAGAACCTGTGGAAGACGGTGATGTCAGAAATCTATAGGAAGTGTATCTACACTGTCTGGGAGCCCAAATGGAACATATTTTCCTCCCAGTGAATGGAACTGAATGAAACTACTGGAACAGTCGGCTCTAAAACGTGTACTTCCTGGTCTCTTACATAAGCTAACAAATGGAATCGTTTTATGATGGTCATACCAAGGATCATTTAGCTAATTGATTTGGAATTTTAAGAACCCTTAAGGTATCAAAATATATATATATATATATATAAACTTTGAATATGTCCTTACTGCTATTAACCCATTCAAACGCATTGAATAACAGATTCACTACATGGAACAACAGATAGTAAAAATAAAAAAATCTAAAGGAAGTTTGTTCTGAAGTGTCTGTACTATATCTGAGAGATTTAAAAAAGACAAGAAACAATTATATATATATTTTTTTTACATGTATTTATCCCCTTATTTTAGGCACTAAACTATCTCCATATATACTTCCATTCGTTTTTTTAAAAACTGGTACCAGGGACCTTAAAACAAGTCTTGTGAGTCTTGTGGGCGTCCTAGAGCAAAATGGAGAACGCCATCGTGAGCGTCTCATCTTTCAATAGAGTGGTCATAATACATTGTAGGCCAAACCATTCGGACGCTACATAGGTTTTTGTGAGAATCAGGCCCATTCCGCAGATGCGGAAAGGCGATATCGGCGGATGCGGTGGATTGAGAAGCAGCCCATTCAAAAAAGCTGATATCTCTAGCTTAAAACAGACGGATATTGATGGGAGATTGTAGGCTAAGGGTTTTAACCTGTCTCCTCCCCTTTCGTCTACTCTGACTGAAGTGGATTTAACAAGTGACATCAATAAGGGATCATGTCTGGATTTTCACCTGGATTCACCTGGTCAGTTCTATGTGATGGAAAGAGGAGGTGTTCTTAATGTTTTGTCCACTCACTGTATAGGGAATAGAGTGCCAGTTGGGCCGCACCATTGACAGACAGCCCCGTGGGTAGACTGGAGTGTGACCGTACTGCTGCCGCGCTACATGGGAGTAAGTTAAAGTCGCAGTCAGTCATTCTCCATTAAAATGAGTTTGAACCCTCTTCTTCAAGCGCCTCTCTCTCTCTCTCTCGCTCTTATCCAGAGCGACTTACAGGAGCAATTAGGGTTAAGTGCCTTGCTCAAGGGCACATCGACAGATTTTTCACCTAGTCGGCTCGGGGATTAGAACCAGCGACCTTTCGGTTACTGGCACTACGCTCTTAACCACTAAGCTACCTGCCGCCCCCAGTATCATATATAGTTATTACTGTAGTATAATAAATGATGGTGTGTTGTTGTCTTACGGTGAGGGCCTGTAGAGCCTCTCTCTGCTGAGGAGACTGGATCTTGTGGGCCAGGAGACGAGTGGCAACCTGAGGACTGGGAATAGGAGAGTGGCTTTAAAATTCTATCATTAAACTACCAGTGTTTTAAAATCTAATACTACATTATAAAACAACCAAAAAAGGTATCTGGTAAAAACAATCAGAGGGCATTTAGAATCACTTTGACCTACTGCTATAAAATGGTTATCTATTTCTCTTGGGAGATAACATTACAGAAAAGGGAGAAGTGGTTTTCAGTGATGTCCCACACAACACACAAGTTGTTCCTCAGAATGATAGTGTAATCTAGATTACAAACTAATATGAACACAACTTTGTTGTATTGGAAGGAAACATTTCTTATCCCTGTAAAAAAAGAAAAAAAGAAAATATTTGAAATGTGAAATATCTTGTCTAGCCTCTGCTGTGTCCAAGGGGCGTCCCAAACGGTACCCTATTCCCTATATAGTGCACTACTTTGGACCAGAGACCTATGGGCCCTAGTGCACTATATAAGGAAGGGACACACAGCCATAGTGTCTCCTCACCCATCAGCCTCCTGGTTGACCTGCTCATAGAAGCCCTGGATACAGTCCCACCTGTCTTCTGGGTTAGACGGGTCTGTGGCCTTGTCTGAGATAGATAGATAGATAGATCAGAGATAATCAATAGATACATTATCAAATCGATCAATCAGCCTAGCTTTGCGTTAGATGGATCTGTGACCTTGCCTGGGATAGAAATATAAACAAATATATATATAAAAAATAAAAAATTAACACTTTCAACAGGCTTCCATATGAGAAACGTTTGCACTTCTGATCTAAGGAAGGTCCCTGCGAGTGTGTATTCTACAACGAGGACGTTGTCACTTTGAAGTGGCGTCACAGTGTCTATTGAACTAGAAGCGAAAGCCCACCGAGAAGCCGCAGACTGTGTGCCTTGGTGTCTTGTGGTAGGTAGGCAGTGGTGTAAAGAACTTAGGTAAAAATACTTTAAAGTACTACTACTTAAGTAGTTTTTTGGGGTATCTGGTTACTTTACTATTTATATGTTTGACAAATTTTACTTCACTACATACCTAAAAAGGAAATTATGTACTTTTTTACTCCATACATTTTCCCTGACACCCAAAAGTACTCGTTACATTTTTTAATGCTTAGCAGGACAGGAAAATAAGTCTAATTTACACACTTATCAAGAAAACATCCCTGGTCATCCCTACTGCTTCTGATCTGGCGGACTCACTAAACACATGCTTCGTCTGTAAATGATGTCTGTGTGTTGGATCGTGCCCCTGGCTCTGGTTTGCTTAATATAAGGAATTTAAATTATTTATACTTTTACTTTTGATACTTAAGTATATTTAAAACCAAATAATTTTACTCATGTAGGATTTGACTGGGTGACTTTCACTTTTACTTAAGTCATTTTCTATTAAGGTATCTTTACTTTTACTCAAGTATGATATTTTGGGTACTTTTTCCACAACTGGGGTGTCCGTTAGTCAAGGGAAGGAGAATTTTTTTTTTTGTTTATCTGCATGAGCGCATGACTGACTGACAAGATGTAGCCTTTCTCATACTTCCTGTTCTTTCAGAGCTATTGTGTTGCGTTTAAAAGAGCATCTTGATAATACATTACAAAACTTCCCTCCACAATCAAACTTAGTAACTTTTTATTCTGTAATTCCCTTTGCGGAATTGGCTACAAATAAACCCTGGGATTTAAAAGGCCACTTCAATGCAACGCGACACCAAGGCAAGCCGAGAGAGACAGTTTCAACTAGTTACAGTAGCTGAAAATACTCCTCGACATTTTTACAAGAACTCATGCAAATGCGTGATATAAAGCCTGTTTAATAAACTGGCGTTACCACAGCAAGGTTCGACTTTCAGTGACGCACAACTTCAAGACGCACAATTTCCAAATGTGAACCACAAGACAAGTTATTGTCAACCGACAAAATATCACTGCACTACTACAAGGAAATACATTTAACTAACTCGCAGAAAGAAAAAAAAAAACTAATTCCCGTGTCATTGAACTTACTCAGCCACGATTGTAGGCTCTCTCCGCCACTCTCTCTGCTCGCCATGGCGGTTGCGGTCGCCGTGCCCCGGTCCTCGGTGTCTTCTCAAACTTCACACCGTCCTCTCAGCGGGCGGAAAGCGCCGTCAAGTCGTCTCAAGACCAGCCCACAGCCGCGACATGTGACTCGAGTTGTGCTTAGTCAGACGTTTCGACGTTCCAAATGGCACCCTACTGCTAGTGCACTAACCTTTAACCAGATCCTTACGGTTAAAAATAGTGCACTATAAAAGGAATAGGGTGCGATCTGGAACGTCAGAACGTAACTTGCAGACCCAATTATATTACAAGGTCTCCGCAGCCGAGCTCTGTCCCTGGGCGATGCAATGTAAACTACTTTTTCCACAGCAGGTTTTTGAAAAAGCAACTTTTCCTTGTTGGTTTATGAGTTTGAGCTATAATACAAAATGTATTTATTTTTATTTAACCTTTATTTTTTTTATCAGGGAGTCATACTGAGACCAAGGTCTCTTTTACAGATAAGCCCTGAATTAGATCAATTACAGAAAACAAACACAAGATGCAAGCAGAAAGAAAAACACGGACATAAAACCATCACTAATAAGGTCCTCAATCAGCTTTCTGAATTGCCCCTAGAGGCACCAGAACATCACATTTAACAACGTTTTGAAGATTGTCCCACAAATAAGGCGCAAGAAAACTAAAAAAACTGATTTACCTACTGTAACTCAGTAGAGACAAAAGGAATTTCCAGAGTCAACCATCCCTGAGACCGGGTGTGGTAAACGGGTTAGGTGCGGTGAGACTTTTTGTAAAAGGGCTTTATAAATGAAAACAACCTATGTGACATCAGAGGGCCAAATAACTTACCTTACCACATACCTAACATTCCATCTTATGGACAATCAACCATAATCAATGTAAATGTGGAATACATTTAGAGTTCCCACTGAAGACAGAGCATTGATCATTAGTAGAAACTGTTTTACTGCAAACATTTCTGGTCTTCAGTTCAACTTGACTGAATGTCCATTACAAGTCCAGTGTGAGTGAGATCATATAGAGTCCAGGAATATTGTTAGAATAAGGTAACCAGTTAGAATAAGGTAACCAGTTAGAATAAGGTAACCAGTTAGAATAAGGTAACCTGTTAGAATAATGAAGGTAACCTGTTAGAATAAGGTAACCAGTTAGAATAAGGTAACCAGTTAGAATAAGGTAACCTGTTAGAATAAGGTATCACCAGTTTATAAAGGTACCCAGTTAAATAAGGTTAACCCTTTTTGAATACGTAACCTGTTAGAAATAAGGTAACCTGTTAGAATACGGTAACCTGTTAAGAATAAAAGGTAACCCGTTAGAATAAGTACGCAGTTGTTGACTAAGGTACCAGTTATCGAATAAGGTACCTTTTTAGAATAAGGTAACCAGTTAGAATAAGGTAACCTGTTAGAATAAGGTAACCTGTTATGAAGAGGTCCCTGTTAGGAATAAAGGTAGACCTGTTAGATAGTAACCGTTAGAATAAGGTAACTGTTAGAAAATAAGGTAACCCGTTTAAATAAGTAACCAGTTAGAATCAGGTAACCTGTTAGAATAAGGTCACCGTTAAGAATAAGGTAACCTGTTAGAATACGGTACCTTTAGAATAAGTAACCGAGTTATAATAAGGAAGTTAACCATTTAGAAAAGGTAACCTGTTATAATGAGTAACCTGTTAGAATAAGTAACCAGTTGAATAAGGTCACCAGCTAGAATGAAGTACCCTGTTTAGAATAAGTTACCTGTTAAATAAGGTCACCTGTTTAGAAAAGTAACCATATTAGAATAAGGTAACCAGTTAGCAATAAAGGTAACCAGTTAGAATCCGTAACCATTAGAATAAGGTAACCCTAAATAAGTAACGGCACTGAATAAGTAACCAGTTAGAATAAGGTAACCTGTTAGAATAAGGTAACCTGTTAGAATAAGGTAACCAGTTAGAATAAGGTAACCAGTTAGAATAAGGTAACCAGTTAGAATAAGGTAACCAGTTAGAATAAGGTAACCTGTTAGAATAAGGTAACCATGTTAGAATAAGGTAACCAGTTAGAATAAGGTAACCAGTTAGAATAAGGTAACCAGTTAAATAGTAACCTGTTAAATAGAGGTACCTGTTAGAATAAGGTAACCTGTTAGAATAAGGTAACCTGTTAGAATAAGGTAACCAGTTAGAATAAGGTAACCTGTTAGAATAAGGTAACCTGTTAGAATAAGGTAACCTGTTAGAATAAGGTAACCTGTTAGAATAAGGTAACCAGTTAGAATAAGGTAACCAGTTAGAATAAGGTAACCAGCTAGAATAAGGTAACCAGTTAGAATAAGGTAACCTGTTAGAATAAGGTAACCTGTTAGAATAAGGTAACCTGTTAGAATAAGGTAACCTGTTAGAATAAGGTAACCTGTTAGAATAAGGTAACCAGTTAGAATAAGGTAACCAGTTAGAATAAAGGCACCATTTAGAATAATGTAACCGCATTGTAATAAGAAGTTAATGAACCAGGGTCATATTCATTATGGCACAACGTAGCAAAACGTTTTGAAGTGGAATACGAAAATGTACGTTTCTTATTGGACAAGTTCAAGTAGTCCCTGCCGGTTTAGGTCTTTTTCCTCTCCGATTTTTAGCAAATTAAAACAAAACCTTCTGGTTCATGTTGCCTGCGAGAGCGAATAGGGTGCCATTTGTGACCCATCCGTATACAGCACTGCTTTTGCACTATGGGCCCTGGACAAAAGTATGTACTATATAGGGAATAGGGTGCCATTTGGTACACAGCCACAGTGTTCAGTGCTGCCGTGAGAGTTGCTGTAGAACTCTGTTGAAGCGATGTGTTTTGGGGAAAAAAAAATCTCACTGGGCCCAAACATACCATCATCTCTGCTACACTGGACTTGCGGTCAGAGGGAGAGAGATAGAGAGAGAGACAGATGAGAGACATAGAGAAGACAGAGAAGAAGAGAGCGAGAGAGAATAGAGAGAGAGAGAGGAATGAGAGGAGCATAAGAAACATCCTGTTTTTCAAAGAGCTTTGCATCATTTGACTATACTAACTGATCCTATCATCAGTATTAGCCATAGAACACTATATACGACGGGACTACTCTGGTCATAACGGTACTACATAACTACTATAGAAAACAACTCTCTGGTCATATACTCCCTAACTTACTATAATACAGGACTCTGTCTAGGGTACTACAAAACTACTATAACTACGGGACTACTTGGTCAACGGTACGTACCATACTACAAGACACGGGACACTCTGGTCATACGGTAACGTACCTAACTACTATAACTAACAGGACTAACCTGGTCAATACGGTAACTTACCAAAACTACTATAGACTAACAGGACTCTCGGTTCAACGGTTCCTCCATAACTACAAATAGACTCCCAGGCCTTTTTGTCAAAAACGTACTACCATAACTACTATAGACTAACAGATACTCTGGCCCTACGTACTTTACCATAACTACTATAGACTAACGGAACTACTCTGTCAAAAACGGTACGTACCATAACTACTATAGACTAACAGGACTACTCTGGTCATACGTACGTACCATAACTACTATAGCCCTAACAGGACTACTTTTGGTTCAAAGGGTACTACCATAACACTATAGACTAACAGGACTACTCTGGTCATACGGTACGTACCATAACTACTATAGACTAACAGGACTACTCTGGTCATACGGTACGTACCAAACTACTATGACTACAGGACACTCGGGTTCAAAAGGGTACTACCATAACTACTATAACCAACAGGACTACTCTGGTCATACGGTACGTACCATAACTACTATAGACTAACAGGACTACTCTGGTCATACGGTACGTACCATAACTACTATAGACTAACAGGACTACTCTGGTCATACGGTACGTACCATAACTACTATAGACTAACAGGACTACTCTGGTCATACGGTACTACCAAAACCCACTAAAAGACTACAGACTACTCTGGTCATACGGTACTTACCATAACTACTATAGACTAACGGGAAACACTCTGGTCTACGGTACTACCAAAACCCACTATAGACTACGGGAAACTACTCTGGTCATACGGTACTACCATAACTACTATAGCCCAACAGGACTACTCGGGTCATACGGTACGTACCAAAACCCACTATAGACTACAGGACTACTCGGTCATACGGTACGTCCCATAACTACTATAACAACAGGACTACTCTGGTCATACGGTACGTACCATAACTACTATAGACTAACAGGACTACTCTGGTCATACGGTACGTACCATAACTACTATAGACTAACGGGACTACTCTGGTCATACGGTACGTACCATAACTACTATAGACTAACAGGACTCCCCTTTTGGCCCATAACG